TTGCTAAAAATCGAGTCAGTTATCTTCTTATATCCCATAAGAAGAAAAATAGAACAAATCCAGATTTCTTTCAATTTTTTTGTTTCTCTGTCTGTTTGTAGAGGCTAATCTCCGAAACTGTTGACCGATTTAAATGAAATTTGCATGGTGGTACCTTATATGCCCGGTCAACATCTTAGACACTTTTTATCCCAGAAAATTAAAGAGTTCCTGTGGAATAGTTAAAAAACTATAGTACCTTATACAGCTTAGTACACACAACAACTTATGCACCTAATTTAGTAAAATTTAACATTCTGATACCTTATATTGCCGGTTAAACAACAGGTTACTTTTAATCCCGGAAAAATGAACGGTTCCCATGGGAACTAATAGATCTCTAATCGTGTTTTTCTAGAGGCGAACCCGAGCGAAGCGAGGGTGAGCCGCTAGTATATACATAAAATGTTTTGTCCTGACTGATCGATCAACGCACAGCCTGAACCGCTGGTCGTAGAAACGTGAAATTTGGAGGACATATTCTTTATACAATATAGGCATTAGCTAAGTAAGGATTTTTTTTTATTCACCCCTTTGGGGGTAAAATAGGGGAAAACAGATTATATGAAACTGTCATTATTAACGCGAAATGCACAAAAAGTAGTATTTAGTTTTAAACTAAAAAATAAGAAATATATATATTAGATTTTTCGAAATTCATCCCTTAAAAGGGTAAAAGGAGTGATAAAGTTTATATGGGCAAAGAATTATTTATGATCACAATTACTTGAAATTTGGTATAAATGCTGTTCAATACAATTAAACAAATACATATTTTAGCATTTTTTGAAATTCATCCTATAAGGCTGTCAAATAGGGGATGAAAGTTTGTATGAAACTCTGTAATTGACGCATGGAAAATGGTATTTACCTTTAAAATGAAAACTAAAACAATACAAATACCTTTTTTTTCGAAAGTCATCCCTTAAAAGGGTAAAAGAGGTTTGTGCTGTTTATATGAGGAAAAAATTGTTTATGATCAGAATTACTTGAAACTTGGTATTTTTTATCTATTAATGCTCTTCAATACAATTAAATAACCAATACCTGGCTCACCAAGCTTCACTCGGAGTTTTTGGTCAGAAGTACAATTTTCTTTTAAAAAAAAAAACGAAAAACTTGAATTAATACAAAAAAAAAAAACATAAATAGTACCTTTGTATCCGAACGGGATTCGAACTCAGACATTTATGTAATCTTGCGCCTTGGCCGCTTGACCATGATGCTTAAACCCGAGCGTGCGAGTTTATCGAACATAATATTTTGCGTGTGAAAATTCGAAAACACGCGTTTTCCCAGATATAAGACTAATCTAGATCGATTTATCGCCCCCGAAACCCCGTGTATACTAAATTTCATGAAAATCGTTGGAGGCGTTTACGAGATTCAGAATATATATACAATAATATATATGCACACACATATATATATATATATATATATATATATATATATATATATATATATATATATATATATATATATATATATATATATATATATATATATATAAATTATGTATAAATTTTCTTCGTTTCTCTTTGGTATGAGCGTGATAGATTATTATTAATTTTACAGTATATTTTTTATATAATAATCTTTTTATTATTATTTTTAATTTTACTATACTTATAAATAGTTTTTTATTGGCAACATTTTAATTGAAATCTTTAAAAAGTTTATGATTTGACATAACGGCTCGATACGATGTTATAAATACCCTGTGTTCGTTAGCGAATCACTTTTTTCTTTGGCGAGCAGCTGATCAGGACAAAGATAAGTAGCTTTGATAATTGTTTAAAGGATAAGGTTTCTATTTATAGTATTTTTGCTGATATATTTTCTTTGGTTATTCTAAACTATTTTGTGATGTTTTGTGATGATAATAACTACAATAATATAAATTAATTGTTACAGTTTCCTTTGTCTTATTTACCTACATCCATATATATAAAAATGATAATTATAATTGTTTCCTCTTAATATTAATGTAATATTGGGTAGTTTGAAGCTTTTGTTATCTCTATATTTTTAAAGAATCTATTAAGCGCGTGCTAAGCCGCGAGCTGTGCTAGTATTCTATATTTTAGGTCTTCATGGCTATTACATCATAGGTTCGAGGTTCGAGTCTCAAGTGGAGTCTTTAGAATAGTGGAGTTTTTCTGAAAATAAAAACTTTTTACCAAAAAAATAAAAACCGACTTCAAACAAAAGCACTAAAAAGTAAAAAATAACTGATTGGTTGATTTCATTTACTATACATACCTAATCAAATAGTTTCGAAGTCGGTGTGTGTTCATCAAACCATTTTTGCCAACAAAATTACCATAATCTTTGAAAATCAACTAAGATATTTTTAGTTCTTCTAGATAAAGTATTTGAAATTTTTTATTTTTTACTCCTCTAATATTTTCATCACTAGCCATTATCTTTTGAAAAGGTAGCTGGAATAAACCTAAAAACACGTAATGAGGGCACGTGGACAAAAAAATCTCTGTATGATAATTATAAATATTCTTGCGCCATCGGGGTTTTCTTTTATGAAGTAAGTCAACTAACACTTTTTTTTTAAATATTGCTTATAATGTCGTGTTCGAAATTGAGAATTTAGGAGTTAACAGAATTCTGGTTAAATGAGCTTTCATGGCTACTTTTTGGAGATTTAATAGCAGTGGAGCAGCATATGATTCCCTTTCAGGTCTTCTTTGTGTAAGCTGCTATTATTAGAGCTGGTATTATTAGATTATAGGGTTTGAAAGGTACAATTTTTAATATAGCTTATACATCTATCTATCTATACTATAATAAAACAGTAGAGGTCGAATGTGTATACATAGCAAAAAGATGCTAAAAACCGAGTCAGGGGGATGTAACAAGACAAATAGAACAAATCCAGATTTTTTTTCAAATTTTTTGTTTCTCTGTCTGTTTGTCTGTTTGTACGGGCTAATCTCCGAATCTATTAGACCGATTTAAATGAAATTTTGCATGATGGTACCTTATATCCCCGGGCAACATCTTAGATACTTTTTGTTTCGGAAAATTAAATAGTTCCCGTGGGATAGTTAAAAAACTATAATAACTTATACAGCTTAGGACACAAAAACTACTGATTGGATTTTAATAAAATTTTACTTTTTTTTTATATGACAATAACAAATTGGCTACTTTTCGTCCCGGAAAATTAAAGGATTCCCGTGGGACAGTCAAAAAACTATAGTAACTTATACAGCTTAGTATACAAAAAATACTGATTGGATTTGGCTGAAACTTTACAATAATATAGGTCATACATCAGAATAACAAATCGGTTACTTTTTATCCCGGAAAAATGTATGGTTCCCGTGGGATAGATGTTTTCGTTTATTTGTAACGTATTATGTATGTACACAACATAGACCCCAAAACAATAGTTATTAAAAAAGTTGTCTATTTGTCTGTCTGTCTGTATGTCTGTTTTTGTATGCGCGTTTCACGCGAAAAGTAATGAATCGATTTCAACGAAATTTGGTGAAGTGATAACTTATTACTCGAGTCAACGTTTAGGATACCTTTTACTTCAAGAAAATCTTTCTTTCTCACGGGAAGATACAATAACTGGTTTTATCAAGTCCTCCCTAGAAACCTTCCGCTGGCTAAATCTTAAGACAAACATACATCAAAACAATATACTAAAAAATTGTAGGTCTTTAAAAGTCCTACAGGAAAGTTCTGAATAGTATATGTATATCTCCTAAGCAATATCTATTCTTATCTATAATATAACTAACTTAGTCAAATCGATGTGCGTGTTTCCCACAAAAAGTACTGAACCGATTTTAACTAAATTTTGTATACTGATAACTTAGTATTCGGGTCAACATTTAGGATACCTACATTTTACGACAGGTATATTATTCATTCCCACGGAAAAACACAATAACTGTTTGTATCTTATTGTCCTTAGAAATTTATATGGCTAACGCTGGCTCAACCTTAAGAGATAGATCAAAACATTGTACAAGAAAATTGAAAGTCTTAAAAAGGTCGATAGAATTATATCTCGTTCTCAATAGTATAATATGTCTATTTCCTAAGGTACACTCACTATAACTATTTTCATTATTATATATTACTGTTTTATTATACGTTATTTATTCTATCTATAAATATAAAAAAACTGTAGAGGTCGAATGTCTGTACATAGAAAAAAAATGCTAAAACCGAGTTAGTTATCTTCTCACATCCCGTAAGAAGAAAAATAGAACAAATCCAGATTTTTTTCGATTCTATTGTTTCTCTGTCGGTCTGTCTGTTTGTACGGGCTAATCTCCGAAACTATTGGACCGATTTAAATAAAATTTTGCGTGGTTGTACCTTATATCCCCGGTCAACATGTAAGATACTTTTCATTCCGGAAAATTAAAGAGTTCCCGTGGGATAGTTAAAAAACTATAGTATCTTATACAGCTTAGTACACAACAACTTATACATCTAATTTAGTAAAATTTAACATTGTGATACCTTATATTGCCGGTCAAACAACAGGTTACTTTTCATCCCGGAAAAATGAACGGTTCCCGTGGGAACTGATAGATCTCTATTAGTGTTTTTCTAGAGGCGAACCCGAGCGAAGCGAGGGTGAGCGGCTAGTATATAATATAATAGGTATATAAACTATCATTCTACGAGATTGATTAATCGTATGTCACTATCATCCGGCAAATAAAAATATCTTTGAAAAAAAATTGTATTAAAGGAGAGCAAACAAACAAACATCGTTTCCTAAAATATATGTGAGTAAAGTGTATAAGTATTTATTAAATATAATATTTTCCTTATTATTTCCAATTATATCATAATAATAAACAAATAGAACATTTAGTCATTTCAAAGCGAGAATAACATCGTTACAGTGTATTTCGAAAACTATAAACATACTTATAGAAATATGAGAACAATAATTTTATTTTTTATTTTAGTTATAAATGTTAAAAGTGAAATTAATTTCGATCCTATAACGAGTCCACTGCTTATGGTTCGTCCTTGTGAGGATGAAGATATAGTTATCTGGTTTGACCCTGGATTATCACCAAGAGAAAAAAATCGATATTACGTTGTTATAAACAAAATTTTGCCGAAAGGAAGTGTTCTGAATTTTTCTTTTGATTCCGATGTACACATCATCCGTATTACATCCCATGTAAGATTTTATATGTCTTTCTAGAATTTAGATATCCAAAACTATAAGTAAATAGTTTTGCCCACGGCTTGCATGGTTTTGTTTTGTAAAACTGGCGTATATCTAAGGTTGGCAATTAAGTATAAAGTTGGATCAAGATATTAAAATTATTCTACTACGAGTACTTTCTTGAAATCTATATAAATAATAATGAAAGTTTTTTTTGTATTTTTGTCCTTTCAGCGTATCTAAATCATTCATTCAATTGTGACTAAACTACCTTTTCGGATTTATTCGCGGATATATTTTGATTTTTGGTTCTTGACGTTTTGAATGCTATTTAACTGTAAACAGCAATCATGATCACGGGAGAGACTAATGCAAGGTTTCAGACGTCTCAACGGTCAATACTAATTTGTTACAGTGCCTACCCACAAAATAAATCCGCGAAAAAATCCGAAAAGATAGTTTTATTTAAAATCCTACTAATATTATAAACGCGAAAGTGTGTAAGAATGTATGTATGGATGTGTGTTTGTTACTCTTTCACGCCAAAACGGCTGAACGGATCCAGAAGAAATTCGGCACAAAGATAGATTATAAGCTGAAATAACACATAGGTTACTTTTTGTCCCGGAAAAATATACGGTTCCTGAGAGATAGATTTGTTTTTGTTCCGCTAGTGTCAAATATTCGCTTAAATCTATGAAAGTATTATGAGACAAAACTTTGGTGAGTTGTTTTGCTTATGCCCGCTATGGTCCTAGGACCCTTATGAGATAAATTTTGATAAATGATAAAACACGTAGTTATTTAATTGTATTGAAGAGCATTAATACGAAGTTTCAAGTAATTGTGACCAAAAAATTTTTTTGGGTTGTATTATAACGTGTTTTCGCGTGAGAATAAAATAATCTACCGAGGTAAAAACTATCTCTACACACACCAATCCATCACTCCGTTTCCACGTGAAAGAAGGACAAACAAACTAACAAACACACTTTCATATTTATAATATTAGTATGGAAGTATGGATATAAAAATAGAAGAGTCAAATCATGCTGTATTATAAATGCGAAAGTTTTGATGGGTGGATGTTTGTCACTCAATCACTTCAGAACGATTGAACGGATCTGGATGAAATAATTATTTACATATGTGGGATATCCATACTAACCGTTAAAACGTACCTAGGGACGAACCCGAGCGAAGCGAAGGTGAGCCGCTAGTATTTACTAATTCAAAAACAGTCAGTAATATTATACGAGTATAATATTCTAAGCCGTTTCTCACTTTGAACTTAGGAGGATTTCAACATTTATAATAATAGAGATTAACATAATATTTTAGAATTAATATATAAATAAAAAATTTTTTAGACAAATTTCGGTACTGCCAACGTTTAGTAAAATTTTTGAAAAAATCATACCAGCGCAAATGTTAACGCATTTCAATGCATACAATCTACTTCTTAAGAAACAATTTGGATTTACGAAAGGCCGCTCCAAGGCAGATGCTAGTGTTGAATTAGTGAAAAATATTTTAGAGGCTTGAGAAAGGTCACAAGATGCACTTGGGATATTCTGTGACTTATCCAAGGCCTTTGATTGTGTACATCATGAGACGCTGATCAGGAAACTGCATCACTATGGTATTAGAAATAAGGCACTCGACCTTCTGAATTCGTATTTAAAAAATAGAATACAGAGGGTTGATGTAAATGGTAAGAGATCTCCTGGAGCTCCTTTAGATCGGGGGTTCCACAAGGGTCTATTCTTGGCCCCTTTCTTTTTCTAATTTATATTAATGATTTGCCATTTTTTGTACAGGACAAATATGAGATAGTATTGTTCGCTAATGACACTTCACTTATTTTTAAAGTGAAGCGCAATTAGCTAATGTACGACGATGTAAACGATGCTCTCTCAAAGGTTGTCGATTGCTTTGATTCAAACAATTTATTATTAAATAATAAAAAGACAAAATTAATAAAATTCTCAACACCTAATGTCAAACTTGTTGATAATGGTGTAACATTAAATGGCGAAGTGTTAAAACCTGTAGAGTCCACTAAATTCCTAGGTATTATACCATAGATTAGAAATTGCAGTGGGGCCCCCATATTGAGGGGCTAGCGAGTAGACTCAGCTCTGCAGCGTTCGCAGTAAAAAACATAAAAGTTCTTACTGATGTAGATACAGCTCGCATAGTCTATTTTAGTTATTTTCATAGTATTATGTCCTTTAGTATCTTACTATGGGGAAATGCAGCTGCTATTATTACGACTTTTGTCCTGCAGAAAAGAGCTATTCGTGCAATTTGTAGTTTAGGTCCTAGATTGTCACTAAGAGATAAGTTTAAATAAATAAATATATAGACTGTTGCTTCTCAGTACGTGTACAAAATATTATGTATGCCGTAAAAATATACACGAATTTCCCAAGAAGTGTGACATGCATAACATTAATACTAGGAGCAAACACAAACTTGTAATGCCTGTGACTCGTCTACACAGAGTCAGTAATTCTTTTTATGGACAATGTATACGCTTGTACAACAGGATCCCAGAAAATGTTCAAAAGGCTTCTATCGCCAAATTCAAAAAAAAATGTTAAAGAACGTTTGTGTGCTAAAGGCTATTATACAATAAATGATTTTATAGAAGATGGCACACCTTGGGAATGAAATGATCGCTTCCAGGCTACTTCAACTTGATAGAAATATTGTAAACTATAATTTAACTTTAAAAAAAGAGAATGAAATAATATTAGTCCCGCTGAGTTTCTTTCGCCAGTTCTTTCTTCAGTTTCAGAACTGGTAGTAGACTCATGACGTTCAGTAAAAAATTGTAATAATTTAATGCTGAATAAAATATTTTGAATTTTTGAATAAGAATAATTATCTAATATAGCTAAGCGAGCAATTCTTGTATATATATAATCTGAATCTCAGAAACGGCTCCAACGATTTTCATGAAATTTAGTATACAAGAGGTTTCGGGGGCGATAAATCGATCTTAGAAAAAAATAATAAAAAGGTGGCGGGTAGTCATAACGTTGCCACTTATTATACATAAACTGAAAAAAATGACTCTTTCTGATATCTATTGGCGAATAATAATACTATTTTTTAAATTGTAATCTAAATCTTGGAAACGGCTCCAATGATTTTCATGAAATTCAGTACATAGGGTGTTTCGGGGGCGGTAAATCGATCTAGATTATTCTTATGTCTGAGAAAACGCGTGTTTTCGAGTTTTCATGCAGTTTTCTTTTGCATTATTCCACGCAAAATTTGCACGCTCGGATATAAGCATCATGTTTAAGCGGCCAAGGTGCAAGATCAACAATACAGGTGTCCAGGTTCGAATCTCGGTCGCATACAAAGTTTTTACTTTTATTTTTTTAATATTTATTCAAGTTTTTATTTTTTTTTTTTAAAAAGACGCAAGATTGACAATCATAGGTGTCCCGGTCGGATACAAAGGTATAATTTATTTTTGTTTTTTTTGTATTTATTAAAGTTTTTTTTAAAGAATTGTACTTTTTAACCAAAAACTCCGAGCGAAGCTCGGTGGCCCAGGTACTTAGTACTAATAAGATAACTACATATGCCCAGTGTCCATAATAATTTTTATATGTTTTAGGATTATACAAAATATGTAAAAGAATTCCTAAGCGATAGAGAGCAGGTTATGTACAATTTTACTTCAGATAGCGACGGTTATGGATTCATTGTGAAAGGAGCTATCCCCGGCATAAGTCCTTACTTAACATCCCTTGCTATAAACAATCAAGAATTCTGCAATATACCGAAAGTGGTAAGAACAAAAAAAAATTACATTATTTACTGTTTTTATTTAACACAAAATAGTTATATATATATATATATATATATATATATATATATATATATATATATATATATATATATATATATATTCTTTTTCAATTTTTCGAAATAGAGAAAGACAATATATAGGTAAATGAGTCCTTTCTCTATGATTTTATTAGTGAAAAGAAGTATAAGAGTCCGATGTTGAGTTTCTCGCCAGTTCTTATCAGCAAAATTGTCTTCCGAACCGGTGGTAGTTTCCTCATGGACTTAGAAATTTTGTTAAATTTTTGAAAAATTGACAATTCAAAAGTACTTGTTAAAGTCTTTTTAAATAAGTTATATTTTGATATTGATAAAGAAAGTTAAGTAAACAAGCTAACGTCTATTTCAGGGATATTTTGAAGAAATCATCTCTGAAACAAACGACAGCGGACCGTACAGCCAGTGTGGACGACGTAAAATAAAGTATACTGAATTAATAGTGAACGGGGATGCCACTAAGCCAGGTGACTGGCCTTGGCACGTCGCGATATATAATATAACGAACTCTGTGATAAGATATATCTGTGGTGGAACTTTGATATCTAAATATTTTATTTTAACTGGTAAGTATTTCATAGTTATGAGCCCAACAATTTATCGTACAAAGCTCTCAAAATCATGCTGGTAATATTTTAAACTTTGTTTACGAAGAGAATTTCTAAATAGCTAGCACGTGTCGAGCTCATGAATATGCGTATTACATCAAAGTTCAAAAACATTATCAACCGACTTCAAAAAGGAGGAGGTTCTCAATTTGATTGTATTTTTTTATGTTTGTTACCTCAGAATTACCTCCATCATTTATTAATCGATTTGGACAATTCTTACTTTATTTGAAAGTATATACTTCCAGTGGGATCCCATTTAAATTTGAAAAAAATACCACCCCTAAGAGTGGAAAAATAGCAAATGAAAATTTAACCTACTTTTAATTGTCATACTAACTTGAAACTTTGCAAGTGTTTCTATTTCCGTTAATAGTGCAGTGATTCGGTATCGTCGACCTGATCTGATGGTAAGGCCGGAAGGTGAATAGTGGAACTCGTCAACGGCTAATAGTAGATTAGATTAGATAGATTTAATTAGAGAGAACGGCTAGTAGTAGGAACTTTGAGTTTGGGCTTATTTTGTTTGATTTGACAAGCTGAATACGTTAGAGTTGTGTTTTAGACCCAGATTTTTTAGTGTTGTTGTTGTGTTACCCTTTTTTAGTGTTGCTGATAAAAGCGAATTTTACTTTGTCAGTCTTCATAAAAAATGGCATCAAACTAATTTAAACGGATTAAGCGAATATTTTATTAAAATACTTTTTTCTTACTTTGCTTCTACTATGTCTGCACAAAAGTACTGTGTATACAATAATGTAAAAATAAAGACGTTTAAAAAAAAATTATACCGTTTTTTTAATGAATAAGTATAAAGTATTTTATACTGATTTGATTGATTTATATTAGCTTTCGTTGATAAGTTTTGTGACACTTTTATTATAAAGACGCAGATAAAAGATGAAGAAAGTGGGTAGGAGTGTTTTAGGCTACTTTATTTTAGTGAAAAATACAGGGTTTTCACGTGAAAAATAATAGACAGGCCTCTTCATCGATCCTGATATATTTTTTATTCGTAGTTATTTGACTGCAAACGAATACTAGTAGCAAAATACTTTTTATGTTTTATCCTCTAGCTGCCCATTGCGTAACTGTCAAGGGTATTGCACTAGGGCCAAAAAGCTTACATGTCGTTCTTGGAAAACATAATTTAGTCGGCGAAGAACAAGCATCGCAGGAAAAACAGGTATGTCTCTTTGTGATACTCTACTGTCCAAATATACCAGCTTATCCTATCCTAGGAGTCCAAACATATAGATTTTAATTGGCATATTATGTTCAACTTAATATTTAATGTATGTATATACATTTGAAGGCATTTATGTTTGAAATATAATCAATGTCATAAGAAGAACTGCCTTTAATCTAACCCTTTTTTCACGTTAAAAATGCATTTAGGCATACCTGTATACATATAGCTGTTTATGTGGGACTCACCGGCCAGAAAAGTCAATACTACCCAATAAAACCCAACAAAACCTCCCTGTTTTAATGGGGCGTTGTAGTGTTGCTTCCGCACTCAACCACAACGCCCCGCCGGCATGTGTACTGAAGCAGTCCACACAAGCAAGTTGCTCATACGGTCCACTGTGTTGTCAGAAAAGTACCAGGAGCAACTCGTATGGCACACCGCTCACCAAAGAGGCCCACCTTCCTGTGTGGCTCTTGGCTTCACGACTGGCTGGATTGCCGGACGCTAATGAACCCTCCACCACGACAAGGAGAACATACATCAGAGGGAGTCTATCTAATCCCCACTAGCGTTACCTATTACCGAAAATAGTCAGAATATGTACTATTTTAAATGTATACATTTTCCCATATTTTTAGGTACATAGAGTAATTGTACACGGAAAATTTCAATTTAATATATCAGAAAACGATATAGCTCTACTTAAACTCAGATCTGATGTGGTATTTTCTAATTACATACAACCAGCCTGCCTTTGGTACAGCAACATTCAGCCTTCAAATAAAGTTTTTGGTACGGTAAGTAGTAGACCTATACCTTAGTTAATAGCTATTAAACAAAAAAAATATCTGTTAACAAACAGAAAAGATAAAAGTACCTGAGTACTGATCATTGAGTTTTAGTCTTTAACTATTTATATATCGAAGTTCATATTAGTAACTAGCGCTTACCCTCGCATAGCTCGAGTGCGTTCTACGTACGTTTTATATAGATACAAACAGTTATTGTAAGTATATCTTAGGAGACAGATACGTATTAACATATCGACGGTTAAAAGGTAATAAGGTATAAGCAACAAAAACGAAATTGTTCAGGAGAGCTGTTTAAAGTTTGAAATTGCAGAAAAATGGACATAACTTTTTTATTTATTGTCATATCGTAAAAAAGGAAACAGTTCTAGAATCAAGAGAAATAAAGGCAATAATGGTCACTTTTATTTATATGATTCGACGTTGTTTTATGTTGATTTTTGCCGCTTATACCAATTGATCTTATTTTTCTTATGAGGTAATTCGGCGTAAGTTACATGTGCACATAAAAAAACGAAGAGTATAGACGCCTTAGCTACATTTGATATCCTCATACCAAGAGGTAATAGGGCATAAGTCACATGACAGTAGAATAACTTAAATGGGTAAAGAAGGACAAGTGACGATTCACATAATTATGCCAGAACGTAATAAAACATAAGATACAGTGCCTAGCAAAAACATTGTGAGGATGTTAGACATTAGTTATACTGTAAGTGAATTGAAGTACAAGGTAACGTGGTACTTCCACACATCAAGATTTCTATACCAAGAGGAAAACGAGAACATCCAACTTACGGCATTATCTGGGCAAATGGTAACGTGGATTAAACGTCACGTCTTAAAATAATAGAATCACAACCAACATGATTCTCCTTTAAAATTCGATCCTGCGACGCCCCATTGAGACGTTTCTAGCCGGTAAGTCCCACATAACATGTATGTATTGAAGTGGTATTCGTAAATGCATTTCCCAGCATTAAAAAAGGTTAGTAAGTATATAATCTAATAATATAATAAAATAATTTAAATATATCTGGTAAGTATGTAGATACGTGAAGGTAGGCTATAAAGGCGAGTTTCTTCGAATACTATTCTTTGTAGATATATTAATAAAATAAAATAAAAAAGCCTTTTATTTCCTGCTTACAATCTTATAGGTTAATTTTAGGTAGTACATATATATATATATATATATATATATATATATTTATAATTGCAGGAACCCCTCTCAGGTGAAGGCCTCTTCCAAAGCTTGCCATTTCTCTCTATCCTGAGCTATAAGGTGCCATTTACTTCCGGCTATTTTCTTTATGTCGTCTTCCCAGCGGGTATAAGGCCTTCCCCTATAGCGTTTACCGGTTGGGCCCTTCCATGTCGTAGCCGTTTTGGTCCATCGCTGGTCTTTTAATCGTATCACATGCCCAGCCCATTTCCATTTCAGTCTTTGAGCGTGACTTAAAGCATCTATTGTTTTTAAGCTCGCTCTTATCTTGGTGTGTCTTATTTTTTGTAGTTTTTTCCATTCATTATGCTACGCTCGATACCCCTCTGGCAGGTAATTATTCTATTCCGGGTTTTGTTTGTAAATTTCCATGTTTGACATGCATATGTCAAGCATGGGATAAGACATGAGTCCATAACCTTCTTCTTCAATGTTAAGGGCATGTTATTTTTAAATACTTCTTTATAACTCCAGTACTTATTCCAAGTACGTTTAATTCTTCTTTCCACCTCTAGTTCGTTGTTATTTCTGTTAAATCCAACTTGTTTGCCGAGATAAATGTATTCATCTATGTATTCTAAAGGTTCATCGTCTATTGTAATGGTTGATTTTGTGTGATTTGTCATAATTTTTGTTTTACTTAAATTTATTTGTAGGCCTACTTCTCTGCTAGCCATATGTAGAGTCTCGATCATATATTGTAATTGAGTGGTAGTTTCTGAAAATAATATAAGATCGTCCGCAAATCTTAGGTGGCTTAAGTATTTACCATTTATAAACAAGCCTTGATATTTCCAATTAAGTTTCCTTATAACTGATTCTATTATCACTATGAAAATTCTAGGAGATAGAGGGTCTCATTGTCTTACTCCTCTTTCTACCGTAAAGCTTGGGCCAGTACTTTCTAACTTCACTCTGCTAGAGCTATTGCTATAAATATTTTTTAAAATGTCTATGTATTTTTTCTCTACATTTTAAGCTTGCAAAGTCACCCATATGTTCTCGTGTAGGACAGTATCGAAGGCTTTTTGGTAATCAATGAATGCGATGTGCAGTGGTCTTTGTTGTTTTGTTGTTGTGGTATTTCTCTATTATCATCTCTACGGTGTGTATATGGTCTATTGTGGAGTATCTTTTTCCGAAACCGGCTCGTTCAATGGGTTGGTTTTGCTCTAGCGATACACTTATTCTTTTGTTTATTATTGTAGAAAAGAGTTTATATAAGGTTGGCAGTAAGCTAATAGGTCTGTAGTTACCGATATCTTTTGGATTTCCTTTCTTGTAGAGCAGGATAATAATAGATTCTGACCATTGCGATGGTATTTCAGAGGTTTCTATTATCGCATTGAAAAGATTTATTAATGGTGTGATCAGTATGTCGTGTGCTACCTTTATGGCATCGTTAATAATATTGTCAGAACCAGGACTTTTATCGCGTTTTAATTTTTGTATCGCCTCCATAACTTCTTTGCAATATATTGGCTCTATACGTTTTTCCGGTAATTCTGGCTCTACCGATTTGCCCTGACTTAAATTTGCACTAGTATTTGTGTAGAATATTTCCTCGCGATTGTACGTGGTTTCTCCTTGTTTGTTAAGACCTTCAATCCACGTTTTATTTGTTTTTAATGCTCTATACCCTTTTTTCAAGCTTCCTTTTTGTTCTAGATGTGTCATAATGGTTTTCAATCTATGATTGTTGTAATCTATTTTTATATTTTTACTAGTGAGCTTATAAAGCGCTTTAAGCTTATTTTTAATGGATCTAGATTTATTTTTTATTCCTTGTATTTCTTGTTTTCTTTTTATAATGTTTTTTGTGTAATCTGATAGGATGCTGTGGTTTTTCATTGAATTTACTGACTTTTTTTCACATTGTAGGCTATTTTTAATATAATTTATTAGTTTGTCATAGTAACCTTGTACTGACTCGGTCGGATTTATATTTTGTAGAGTCGCAATATGATTCTTTAATTTCTCTTTGAATATTGATATTTCTTCCTCGATCTTGAGCGTACTATGCTGGTCGTTTTTGTATTTGGCTCTACTTTTGATTGGTTTTGTTAGTGATATTACAGCTCTGAGTGCTCTATGGTCCGAAGGGTAGTTTACATTTAGTGTTTCAATATTTTGAAATATTTGTGGTCTGTTAGACATTATGAAATCTATCTCATTTTTGTACTGCCCATTGGGTGAATGCCACGTCCATCTTTTCTTTGGTTTTTTCTTATAAAATGTGTTAATAATTGCTAAATTATATTCCAAAGCAAAGTCTAATAGTCTTTGTCCTCTCGCGTTTCTGTCTCCGTATCCATATTGTTTCATTACTAGTTTTTCGTCGTTACGACGCTCACCTATTTTGGCATTAAAATTCCCCATCAGAATGAGATCTTTATGTGATATTTCCATTGCTTTATAGATGTTTTCGTAAAAGATATCTATTTCCTCCTCTTCTGCGGCTTCTGTAGGGGCATAGACTTATATAATAGTTAGTTTCTTTTCTGATATGTTAACATTTAATATCGCTACTCTTTCTGAGATGCCGATATAACTTTCTACGTTTTGTTTCAGGCGTTTATTTATTATAAAACCACACCATATTTGCTCAGTGTTTGCCCTGTATGGCAGAGAATAAATTCATCATATTCTGATATTACGTTACCAAGGCGTCGTACTTCTGATAAGCCAATGATATCGTATTTTATGTAGATATATTACGAGTATGTAAATAAGCAAGCTAGGTTCCAGAGATTGGGAAGGTTGCAGACGAAAGTATTTAGGGGAGGACGTAGGTAGTAGGTACTCGTAAGCTATGATAATGTAGGTTATTAAGCTTATTGTAACTACGCTTATTGATAACATAGCTAAGGTTTAGAATACCCATGGCTTATTTGATAGGTACCTCTGCCTTAGGTCTACGATATGTCAGGTAAAATTAGTATAGATAGGCTGAACTACTAGATTACTTATTACTGCCTACTTTATTATTTTATATTAAGCTCTGACTTAATTCTGGATTTGATGAAACAAAAATACTTAGGTTTTTTCCACTATTTATTAAAAAAAACAGTTTTGTCAAAATAGTTTTCACGATGTTAGATACATAGTAACAAAAATAAACTTAATGAAATAACATAAGGTATCATTATTATAAAAATGTTATAAAAGATACTTCCAAGTCACTGCACGCGGCCGACTGATTTTGGAATAAGCGACTCGCTTAATAGGTACTTGAGTACTACAAAGTCATTAATATTGGCGTAAGCACCAATTAACAAATAATCATTGTAAAGTAATACGGCGTACGCGACAACGTAGTATTAAAATAGTAAATAGTAAATGGATATACCCGACACCTTAATATAAAATTTCATATTAGTAATTAAGTATAAGCGACAACTATATCGTAAACTTGTAAATGGTAGTAAGGTATAACCGACAGTTTAATATCAAATAAGATTTAGTAATTGCGTATAAGCGACAACTGTATTTTAAACTTGAAAATGGTAGTAAGGCTTAACCGACGCTTAATGTTTTTGACGAAAAAGGTAAAGAGGCATTACTTCCAACTTTCAAAACCGGTGCTAATTGTAAAGAGTCTTAAGCGCCCGGAATCTCTATGCCAGTAAGAAGTAAAAATACCTTACCGACTATAAACCAAAATTGATACCATTTTTACAGGGGTACAAGTGCCTTTAGGGTAAATAAGGCCTAAAACTCGGTCGGTTCGACCAAAATGACACTTCGAAAACGCAGTTTTTTGCTTGGACATAAGAGACGAAAAAGCCATCGTAGAGACATGGGAGTAAGCGCATTCAAAAAAGCTAAAATTTTTAAGTAGGATGGCATTCATAACTCATTTGCGACCAAAATGTCGCTTATTACCTTATTACCTTTTGACCGTCGATATGCTATTGCAGACTTTTCTGTAGGCCTTTTAAGACCTACAATTTTATAGTAGATTGTTTTGATTTAGCCAGCGTAAGTCATGTGAAAGGACGTCCCGACGAAATCAATTGTGGTGTTATCCCGAGGAAACGAAAAATTTTCCTTTAATAAAAGGTATCCTTAATGTTTACCCGAGTAATAAGTTATCAGTACACAAAATTTAGTTAAAATTAGTTGAGTACAATTTGCTAACCTAAGTTTTGTCTTTGCCTATTTATATATAGACTTGCATTGCCTGCGGCTCCGCCCGCGTTCAGATGACCAAACACTAAATTCTTAGGTTTTAAATATTAGTATACTCTTACATTGCAATTATTGTATTTTTTCTCAGAAATGAGACATTTTCCCACGGTGAAAAGTATCCTATATGTTGACCCCGATAACCAGCTATCATCAAACCAAATTTCATCAAAATCTCTCAAGTGGTTTTTCTGTGATGTGGTTACAGACAGACAGACAGACGGCCGGACGGACGGACGGACGGACGGACGGACGGACGGACAGACAGACAAAAATTCTAAAATCTATAGATGGATTCGGCCTCTGTATCGATAATAACGTTATTTTATGTTTATAAGATTTTCCAAAAAATATATTATTTATTTATTCATTCGTTCATTCGTTCGTTCGTTCGTTCGTTCGTTCGTTCGTTCGTTCATTCGTTCATTCGTTCATTCGTTCGTTCGTTCGTTCGTTCGTTCGTTCGTTCGTTCGTTCGTTCGTTTGTTCGTTCGATCGTTCGTTCGTTCGTTCGTTCGTTCGTTCATTCGTTCATTCGTTCATTCATTTATTATTTACTACTTCTTCCTTTTGCAGGTGGTAGGGTGGGGGTTAGATAGTACTGACTCCTTGACTTTTGAACTACGGCAAGCCAAAATGCCCATAGTGGCAAAAACCAAATGTATGAAAAGTGACCTCACTTACTATGGTAAAATATTGAATGGGAAGAAATTCTGCGCAGGATACCATAATGGTAAATAATTTTATTTTTCATATATGGAATTAAATAATGAAGTGAATCAACCTGATGTCCCTTTATACCTATTTACAGATAGAATATTAATAACGTATTTTAAAACAGTAATATATAATAATGAAAATAGTTATAGCGAGTGTATCCTTAGGAGATAGACATATACTATGTAGAACTTTCTATAGACCTTTTTAAGACTTAAAATTTTACTAAATTAGGTGCATAAGTTGTTGTGTACTAAGCTGTATAAGATACTATAGTTTTTTAACTATCCCACGGGAACTCTTTAATTTTCCGGAATGAAAAGTATCTTACATGTTGACCGGGGATATAAGGTACAACCACGCAAAATTTTATTTAAATCGGTCCAATAGTTTCGGAGATTAGCCCGTACAAACAGACAGACAGACAGAGAAACAATAGAATCGAAAAAAATCTGGATTTGTTCTATTTTTCTTCTCACGGGATGTGAGAAGATAACTAACTCGGTTTTAGCATTTTTTTTCTATGTACAGACATTCGACCTCTACAGTTTTTTTATATTTATAGATAGAATAAATAACGTATAATAAAACAGTAATATATTATAATAATGAAAATAGTTATAGTGAGTGTACCTTAGGAGATAGACATATTATACTATTGAGAACGAGATATAATTCTATCGACCTTTTTAAGACTTATTTAGAATTTTCTTGTACAATGTTTTGATCTATCTCTTAAGGTTGAGCCCGCATTAGCCATATAAATTTATAAGGACAAATGATAGAACCAGTTATTGTGTTTTCCCGAGGAAATAAATAATTTGCCTGTCGTAAAAGGTATCCTAAATGTTGACCCGAGTACTAATTTATCACTATACAAAATTTTGTTAAAATCGGTTCAGTACTTTTTGCGTGAAACGCGCACATCGATTTGACTAAGTTAGTTTTATTATAGATATAGATAAGAATAGATATTGCATAGAAGCTATAAACATACTATTCAAAACTATCCTGTAGGACTATTTAAGACCTACAATTTTATAGTATATTGTTTTGATGTATGTATGTCTTAAGGTTTAGCCAGCGAAAGGTTTCTAGGGAGGACTCGATAAAACCAGTTATTGTATCTTCCCGTGAGAAAGAAAGAATTTCTTGAAGTAAAAGGTATCCTAAATATTGACTTGAGTAATAAGTTATCACTTCATCAAACGTTGAAATCGTCTCATTACTTTTCGCGTGAAATGCGCATACAAAAATAGACAAACAGACATTTTTTTAATAACTATTATTTTGTGGTCTATGTTATGTACATAATACGTTACAAATAAACGGAAACATCTATCTCACGGGAACCGTACATTTTTCCGTGATGAAAAGTAACCTATTTGTTATTCTGATGTATAAACTTATGATATAGTTTATACATCAGAATAAATATAAAGTTTCATCAAAATCCAATCAGTAGTTTTTGTGTACTAAGCTGTATAAGTTACTATAGTTCTTTGACTGTCCCAAGGGAACCCTTTAATTTTCCGGAATGAAAAGTAGCCGATTTGTTGTCATGTATGAACTATATTATTGTAAAGTTTTATTAAAACCCAATCAGTAGTTTTTGTGTACTAAGCTGTATAAGTTATTGTAGTTTTTTAACTATCCCACGGGAACTATTTAATTTTCCGGGATAAAATATCTAAGATGCTGCCCGGGGATATAAGGTACCCCCATTCAAAATTTCATTTAAATCGGTCCAATAGATTCAGAGATAAGCCCGTACAAACACACAAACAGATAAACAGACAGAGATACAAAAAATTTGAAAAAAATCTGGATTTGTTCTATAAAGTCTTCTTACATCCTCCTGACTCGATTTTTAGCATTTTTTTGATATGTACAGACATTCGACCTCTACTGTTTTCAACAGACTTCAAAAAGGAGGAGGTTCTCAATTCGACTGTATTTTTTTTTATGTTTGTTACCTCAGAACTCCGTCATTTATTAACCGATTTGGACAATTTTTGTGTTGTTTGAAAGTGTATACTTCCAGATTGGTCCCATTTAAATTTCAAAAAAAAATACCACCCCTAAGGGTGGAAAAATAGCTAATGATGAATTTAACCTACTTCTAATTGTCATATTGATTTGAAACTTTGCAAGTGTTTCTATTTCCGTTGATAGTACAGTGGTTCGGTATTGTTGACCTGATCTGATGGTAAGGCCAGAAGGTGGATAGGTGAAACTCTTCGACGGCTAATAGTAGATACTTTGAGTTTGGGCTTATTTTGTTTGATTTGACAAGCCTAACACGTTAGAATTCTTACTTTGCTACTACTGTCTACATTAAAAAGGTAAAAATAAAAACTGTTTAACAAAAAATAAAAACCGACTTCAAACAAAAGCACTAAGAAGTAAAAAATAACTGATTGGTAGTTTTCATTTACTATACATACCTAATTAAATATTTTCGAAGTCGGTGTGCTTTGGCTATGTAATTAAAGCCTACCTATTAAATACATACCTAATCAAATATTTTCGAAATCGGTGCCAGCCCATACAAAGCAAAGCACACCGACTTCGAAAATATTTGATTAGGTATGTATAGTAAATGAAAACTACCAATCAGTTATTTTTTACTTTTTAGTGCTTTTGTTTGAAGTCGGTTTTTATTTTTTGTTAAAAAGTTTTTATATTATACTATAGATAGATGTAAAATGTAATTAAAATATTTTTATCTACACATGTTTACAGGTACATCTGTTTGCAACGGTGATAGTGGTAGTGGTTTTCACGTCTTCGTTCCTGACGAGGATATAGAAGAGGACGACAGTGGGGCTTGGTATGTACGTGGAATAGTATCTACGATGTTATCTAGGGAAGGCGCGTCATCGTTATGCGACTCTACTCAGTACGCAATTTTTACTGATGTTGAAAAATATAGGCTCTGGATAGATTCTTACTTGGAAACTGAAAGAGATTAACCTTAAAAAACCAACTCGTTGTTTCAATGCTTACATGTCCATGCCACCAATTCAACGAAATAGTTTTTTAAAATCTTTTAAAAAGCCGAAAAATGTTTTATTCTATGTATATCTATAAATCTTTGAAATAAGGCTTTGTTTTTAAAATTTATACATATAATAAAACAGTAACTTAGCGAAACCTGAAAAATCAATGACATTAACATATTGTGTAGAGAATATAGACCCCAAAATAATAGTTATAAAAAAAATTCTGTATGTCTGTTTTGTTCGTGATTCACGCGGTAAAGTACTAGACGGATTTTGACTAAATTTTGTGTAGTAATAACTTATTACTTAGGTAAATGTAGACATTTAAGATATTTTTTACCACAAAAAATCTTTCATTCCCATGAGAAAACGCTACAATTGGCTCTATCGAGTCATTCTTAGAAAACATGACTAGCGCTGGCTAAATCTTAAGAAATACAACGAAATGTAATAAAAAATGTAGTTACACTACGAATATTAACTATTCATATTTAATTGAAACGGCCCCACGGTCGCACCCGTATACAGCGAGGGTAAGTCACTAGTAAAAGAGTAAACTCTCTGCTATAAAGTACAGGCAGTCTGGTGGTATGAACAAATAAGCACTAAGGCGACGAACGGTGGGACTTAGATGATGAAAACTAAAAAACGTATGGAACTCTTCTAATTAATTTAGCCGCGTATTGTGCTTTATATTTTTAATTTTTTTAATTTACTATGAACGATATTGTTGTTAAAATTGTTAGTTAGTAGATCTTTATATTTTGTATGTCTCATATTTAAATCTTAACAATTTTTTTTTAACTTCTTATTATATGTATAAATAGATAGATATCAAATATAAATTGTATACATTGACTAAGTATATGAAATAAATTTTAGAATTATTATATTTTAGTGTTTATTTATAATCTAGGACATTATTATTGTTAGCATATCATTTAAAAAAAATATAGCTATTAGCTAAAAATTCATAAATGTTCAATTAACAATATCGTCTAAGTTATATTTTATAGTATGTATGTATTCATATCTTTTTAACGTTCCACTGCTAGGCGTGTGCTTCCCTTGAACACGAGGGGGATCAGGCCATAGTCCACCATGCTGGCGAAGTGCGTGTTGTCGTCCTTCACACGTCTTTCGAAAACTTGCTAGGTTCTTTCAGAAATGCAGGTTTCCTCACAATGTTTGAGACCCGTTAATCTAACTTACTGTAAATCTAACTGACAGTTAAACTAACTGACAGTTAAGCTAACTGACAGTAAATTGAACTAACAGTTAAACTTACTGGTAGTTAAATTAACTGACAGTCAACCTTTTTTTTTATAGTTGGGAAATCCTATTACGGATACCACCCGACTTCCCCCGGGGTGGTTATGTGGAGACTCTCCAGCTAATGAGACCGGTATACCCACTAAAACCCAACTTCCCAACCCCTGCCGCCATGTGGGACGCCACGGGACCGCTTTCGCATACAACCGCGACGCCCCGACGGTTTGCCGAAGCCACTAATCATGAGGCCGCCCCAAGCGGGACAAGCCCATTATGGGAAGACTTGACACCCAAGAAGTGAGGACGCTCCCTTAGGAGCGAGTGGACTTATCCACTCTGCTGGTCAGAGAAGTACCTGGAGCAGCCCCACACGGCACAAACACCGCCCACCGAAGTGGGCAACCTGCAAAAATAATAATACCCTCCCGCCCAAATTGGGCAAACCCCAAATACGCCCGAGCACGAGCCCAACCACAAACGGCTGCAGGAGTAGAGGATGCGACAACGCCGACACTCCCCTTCCCCCGCGGCCCCCTACCGTCGGCCCACCTCCGGACCAAAATGGCTGCCGACATCCCTCGCCAGACGCAGGACTACCCAACTGGCCCCGCTCCAGCCACCGCACCGACGGGCTAGCCCCGGCAGTGTGGCCCGCGCAGCGCCTCCTTCCTCGAAACGGCCGGAGACACCGCGCTACCTCTAAGAAGGAGACGGTGCCCTCCTAACGCCGCTCCCTCAACCCCCCCTCCTGGCTGTTGGTCCGCGCCGGATTGCTCCGGTACCACAAGCTCCTGTCGGGTCCAAACAGGCGCGAGTGGTGTTCCCCTATCCGCCACCCGGGGGACGCGTCTGGTAGCAGTCAGCCTCTGCCCCGGAATCTGACAGTCAACCTAACTGACAGTTAAACTTACTTTTTTTTTAAATTTCGTTATTTAATCCACATAAATTATTAAATTAAGAACATTTCTAGTGTAAATTAAATCCTAGAAGTACATATTAAATACTATTTTATTTGTTTAACAAGTACACAGACTGTTGAAGCACCATTAAGCTATTTTAAGTTAATTAAGTAACATAACCAACGTAATGCTCTTTTTTTCTATCAGGCGTCGTTATATATTGTCATTATAGCACAGACGGTGATTTTAAATTTTTCTTTCTCAATAAATTGTAAGACGGCGTGCTGTTCGGTCATCAAAGTTAATTTTTCATTTAAAAATCCCAGTAAAACCCCCCTATACGCGCACACAGACTTATATAAAACTTATAGCAAAAGGTAACATGTGCATATAGATAATTTTTATTAATAATTGAACAGTATATCATTTAAAGTATGTAGGCTTGAGAAAAGCGATTACATTTATATCATAATTTTATACAAAGAAAAATAAACCGTGGTCGGTAGATGTAAATAAAATACCAACTAAAAGCAGTCAGCATTAAGCAACAAGAACTTAACATATCGCACACGCAGACGAGTGAGCCCGCACCGCGGCGCGCGCGCCATTTCCGATCTTATATCACACGGTAATGCGAACGGGAATAGCACTCGCGGCAGCGGCAACAGCACACGCGCCTGTGTTGACGAATGTTCCTATACAAATGGTTCATAGTCTAGGAATAAGTGATGCGGCAATTTGTATCGATTATATTTATCGACATAAGGAAGATTATTTTTACGACTTTTACATATATTATTTATTAGTTTATTTTTGTGGTTAGTATTTTGATGGATATAGAACTTTTTGGATAATCTATACTTATAATAAATCTGTAGAGAGGTCAATTCTGTACATGAAATATATTTCCAAAATAACTATCAGGGGGTGATTAGGGATCGATACTGATGCCAAAAATGCAATCAGTAAAATTTTTGTCTGTCTGTCTGTCTGTCTGTATAACCGTTATAGAAACAAAAACTACTCGACGGATTTTAACGAAACTTGGTACAATTATTTTTCATACTCCTGAGCTGGTTAAAGTATACTTTTCATCACGCTACAATCAATAGGAGCAGAGCAGTGAAGGGAAATGTTGGGAAAACGGGAGAAGTTACTCAATTTTTTAAACTTCCGTCGCGTGTGCAACCTTAATGGTTAAAGCTACATAGAAATCATGACGGAAATGTTCTCCTTAAAATTATATAAAAAATATCCCACGACAGCATATGTCTATCTTTTATGATTGACTCACAATAACACGTGTAACTCCCGATAGCTTAGCAGTTCGAAGCTTTCTGATTTATATTTGTCTACTCTTACGTTTATAACACTCTCAGTCATCCCTAATTAAAAAAGATAACATTATTAACTATTCCATAAAAAAGAATCATAGAAATCGGTATAGAAACACCAAAGTTATACATGAAATACGCTAATAATAAGCCATCGGAGTCAGGGGGATGTAAGAAGACAAATAGAACAAATCCAGATTTTTTTCAATTTTTTTGTTTCTATGTCTGTTTGTCTGTTTGTACGGGCTAATCTCCGAATGTATTGGACCGATTTAAATGAAATTTTGCATGGTGGTACCTTATATCCCCGGACAACGTCTTAGATATTTTTTATCCCGGAAAATTAAATGGTTCCCGTGGGATAGTTAAAAAACTATTATAACTTATACAACTTATGCACCTAATTTAGTAAAATTTAACATCCTGATACCTTATATTGCCGGTCAAACAACAGGTTACTTTTCATCCGGGAAAAATGAACGGTTCCCGTGGGAACTAATAGATTTCTATTAGTATTTTTCTAGAGGCGAATCCGAGCGAAGCGAGGGTGAGCCGCTAGTTTATAAATATAAACGTCAATTATTGGAAGACCTATTTGATAATGTAACTTGTGGAGATTAGTGCGAAAGGGAGTATTAAAGGCATATTTGATAGCTTTGTTTTGTAAAGTCTGTAGCTTTTTAATATTCGTTTTGCAAGTGCCTCTCCATACAGGGCATGCGTATGTGATGCATGGACGTACCAGGGTGCAATAAATACGTAGCTTTGTGCTACTACTTAGACATGAGTGCCTATTTAAGGTTGGATTTAGGGCATTTAATGCTTTAATACCTTTAAGTCGTAGAGTACAAGTGTTTTCGGTCCAGTTGAGCTTACTGTCGAGCTTTAAGCCAAGATATTTCACTGTTTTGCTCCAAGATATAATATACCCTACAATTTTCAGCGTTCGAGATGGTAAAGTTCGCTTTCTAGTAAATAGAATAGCTTCTGTCTTAGATGCATTTATTTTTAGCTTCCATTTATAGAAATAGAATAGAAGTTGATCAATGGAGAGTTGAAGTCGATCTATTATCAAGTTTATATCTGAGGAGGTAGTAAAAGAGGCTGTGTCATCTGCAAAACAGGCTAAACTTGTCCGTGGTTGAACCGGAATGTCGTTTAGGTACAGAAGAAACAAATATGGTCCTAATATTGAGCCCTGTGGCACTCCTGCGGGTATTGATTTTGAGATAGATGAGTAACTATTGATGTGGACTCAAAAACTGCGATCATTTAAGTATGACTGGATGATTTTTATAAGCGGAAAAGGCAGCCCAAGTCTTATGAGTTTATGAAGTAAGGCATTGTGCCAGGCAGTATCAAAAGCTTTTTCTATGTCTAATAAAAACATTCCCGTTGATTGTTTTAAATTTAAATTATGGGACATAGTTTCAGCAACTCTGGCAAGTTGTTGGAGTGTGGA